GTTACTACATGCAATGTGGTGTCCGCTGCTATCAGTAGATTATAATACATAGAGGAGAAATACGTGTTCTTGATTTTTTTTTCTTTTTTTTTTTTGTATCAGGGATCGAACTCAGGTCCTTGTGCTTATGAGGCAGGCTGCAGAACCAGAAAGGAGTATTCTTATTTGGAATGATTTTATGGCTCATCACATGGTAAAGCAGAGTTGAAAACACTGTCTTTTGCTCTCTTTTCTGCCTGTCTGCCCTGTCTCTGTTTCTGTCAGTAGTGTCATTTTTATCGAATAAGCCCTTTAATCCACACCTTGAAATTTGACATTTTGACCTTAGTGGCATTTCTGTCACCCATTCCACAGTCTGCACAAGGAAGACTAAAGGCTGCCTCATGGTGAGCTCATAGGTCCGCTGACCTTTTCTTGGCCTCTTTAGAATAATATTTCAAACTCTATTGTCATGCCCAGAAGAGTCGGGCTTATTTGACTGATCTGCATTCTATCCTGAATCTCAAAATGTTTAAACCAGTTTTTAAATGAAAGTAGTCTTCAGCAACTCCTTGACTTCCTAAAACTCATCTTTCCTCCTCTGGTTTTGTCAGACCCATCCAGCTGCAGAAAGACAGGGGCTGTGTCTGCTTTCTTTTCTCCTGTCTCCAGTGTTTCCTCATGGCTAGCACAGGACCAAACACACATGGTTATATTTTTGTTAAGTAATGAATGCTATAATGAGTAAATGACTATAGGAAAGTGTTTGCTTCAGGCACTCTTTTTTATATTCTTTCTGAAATCCATTTTCAATTTCATGCTTTCTGTATTGGATCCTCTACACAACTTTTGTCTTTTTAATGAATGTTTGTTGAATATTCCTTTTAAAACCCAAGTTGTTGCTGGATGCCCAATATTAAACTGGATGTTAAAATGCGTGATGCTTGATGTAAAATTTGTGATTATGATGTGATCGTAATCCAAGCTCAGAGAGTCCAATGCTTACTGGGCTTGATGAGCAACCATGGGTAGAAGTGAGTTTTCTGTTCCCCAAGTACAATGCCTGCTTCACACAATCTCATTCAGGAGGAAGGCATTAGTCATATTTGGATTCTACCTTTCTGCCTCATACCTGATGAGTGCCAGAAAATAAATGTAAATAAAGATCTATAGCTTTTAAAAGAAAATCTTTTACCTTTGCAAGTTTTTTTTTTTTTTGGTACTGGGGATCAGACTTGGGTTCTTGCACTTGTGAGTCAGGCAGTGGAACCACTGAGCTAAATCCTGGCCCCTACAACTATTTTTTTAACTGCATCAATTATTGATTCTTACGTATCTTAATTAATTAATTATTTTAAAAATAAAAGAAGACTATTTATTTGAAGTTGGCGAGGAAGAGATAACAGACAGCTACCCTGGATGAATAGGGAGTACAGAGAATTTGAAAGTGAGTAACTCCCCTATCTTAATTTAAAAAATAGATGATTTTACTCTTTATCCTAACCAGAGTAGTATGTATCTAATTCCCCACTCACAAATCAAAGGCAGAAAATACTGCATTATTTCAGGGGGTAGTATATAAAAAATAGCCCTAAAGAAATCTAAATGTTGTTTGAGACATCCTGGTTCAGCTATAAAATTGAGAGAAATTTTGTATTCTTTTTAAAAAATCAAGCTTTTGGGCAGGGGATTTAGCTTATTGGTGTTGCTACCTGCCTCACAAGCACAAAGACCGGTGTTTGAGCCCTGGTACCCCCCCAAAAAACCACCAAAAAACAAAACAAAACAAAACAAACAAAAAACAAGCTTTTGCTATCCATAGAGTGAAATTGGCCTCCTGACCTCAGACAAAATCTAAAGACTCTTGGCCTGTTGCTGGCATACCCAGGTGACCAGAGGTAGGATGTACAACTTTTCAAGTTATGTAGGACTAATGTAAAAAGGGTTCTGCTCCCAGCATTGAGGCTATAGGAAGAGGGTCAGATACAGCTTTTGTGGGCAACATATATGACTGCACTCAACACAGTGTTTCTGTTTCTTATGTATTGTCTGTGATCACCTCACTTTTTTTCTGGGTAATCGAATCCTTATGCATTATTTTATTTGCTGCAAATTGGGAAATTAAGTTAAGCCTGATTAAAAATTGTTTTCTAAATAAAGCTTGAAATAAAGACATTAAGGTAAATCGGTGGGGTTAGGTCAGGACCTACAAAATGGATTATATGAGCTTCAGAGGCCACCCAGTTGGAGATTTGTTCCAAACGGCAGCTTTTCCAGGTAATTGAGCTTCTGCTGTGCTCTTTCACAATCAACTACACACTGCAATGTATTTGTACTTTGTTTTCTCTTTTATTTTTATCATTGTTTTGTTTAAACTCATGCATGAACTGAGTCATTTCAAGTTTTCAGTGCATGATCTTAACCCAGGATTTTAATGACACAACAATGTTCCAAGAGGATTAAGTGTGTGTGGGGTGATTTTGTAAGAAAGTCAGGGGAAGGAGCCAGAGGACCAGATGTAGCTGATCACATAGATCATTCCCTAAGGTCCTGCCTGGTTCAGGGGCTTAGGCTGTATCTGCTAGGTGAAGCGGGCAGGGAATATTCCAAGGAGGTGACTGTCCTTATAATGTTGGCATATCACATGCTCATTCTGCAGACAAATCCTTAAGGAAGGGCAGAGGAGATAGAGGTGGTATAATTCAGGACAAATGAGGAAATAGAACAGACAGAACTGGGTTTAGAGTAAAGCAGGTGGTGGTATCTATGTTTTGAAGGACTTGGGGAGATATAGTAAAAGTATAACAAAAATGAAAATAACATTGTTGAGCACCTGCTACCTGTAAGACTGAATGACTTGCATAAATTCTTAATCATCAAGCTTAAGGGCAACCCTTGAAATTTGGTACAGTGTCCCTGTTTTATAGATAAGAAAACTGAAGCTCAGAGTGATCACAAAGGTCATGACCACATAACCAGATTGGAGCACAGCTGGGCATCTTAGAACAAAAAGAAAAATGAGACTTTCTGTCTTCAGTGTGACACTTAAGGAGTCTTCCTGTGGATGGCCAGCACCTAAGAGTACACAAGTCATTTTTACATATGTTATTATAGTTAATCCTTTCATAACACTGTGTGGCAGGTATAGAAATCATCATCATATAAATGATGAAAATGACACCACTAGAGAGTAAGACAGTTTTCAGACACCAGATAGGTAACAAACTTGGATCAAACAATAAATCTCATTACTTTGAAAATATTGCAATTTCTCCTTTACAAGGAATTTTGGTGAGATACTGTCAGTGCTTACACTGTTGTGTGCTCCGTACATGGTAACAGAGTGGTGTGGATAAAGTTTTGATCCTGGAATCAGACTGCTTAGGTTGGCATCCTACTTCTGCTATAAGACTTTGGATAAGTTACTTAATCTCTCTAATCTGTTTTTTTATGCAAGAAAAGGAATAATAATTGCATCTTTTACTATTTTATGGTGTTGCAGTTATAATTTTAAAAAGAAAATGTATGCAAAGTACCTGGCACCTAGTTAAACTCAATAAATGCTAGTACTAATAGCAGTTGTTCAAAGAAATGGCATGTAATTAAGTATAGGAACACTAAAATATATAAAATCACATTTTGAGATGAATCATTTCTGAAGGTAGAAGAGAAATTAAAGTGTGGGTATCGTGTTACTTTGATCCTGGAGATTATTTTCACTTAAGCTAACTATAGCGTTTATATAGGAAAATTAAATTATCGGAAATGTTCTTTATTTATTTTTAAATTTTACATTTATTTTCTTTTTTTTTTCCTCTCTCACTGAGTTTATTGGTACATTGTAGGTATACGGTACAGTTACATTCATCCTTGGGATCTTGTACCTTTACATGACAGGTCTTGGTTCTCATTTTTCCCTTTGTCCCTGCCCTCCCTTCACCCCTTCCTCCCCTCCCCAGTTACAAACACTTCATTTCCATTTTTTCAATTTCTCATATTTTTTTCTTTTCCCTTATTACCTTTCCCATACACTTCCCACTTTCCCTACACCTTTAGCCCTTTTCTTCCTATTTCACATGGTCAATTATATCATTAAAATCTTATGTACCATTATAGTTTTTCACACCAGAGAAAGTATTTGGTATTTACATGTGTAACTTATTTATTTCACTTAGGAGTATATCCTCAATATGTATCCATTTACCTATGAATGAATCTAATTTCTCATTCTTTATGGCTTCCACTCTTTAGAAAAAACCACATCTTCTTTATCCAGACTCCAACTGGTGGGCAAATAGGCTATTTCCAAGTTTTAGCTGTTACAAACTGTGCCACTATAAATGTAGGTGTGCATATATCACTGTGATATGATTCTTTTAATTCTTTTGGAAAGATACCCAGCAGAGGGATGGCTGGGTCAAATGGAAATGTACTTTAAAGAGAGAAAGTAGGCAACAAAGTTCATAGTTCTGATGAGAGCTAACATGGTCCTGAACAAGAGTACTAATAGAACGGAAAGGAGGAGCTAGGTAGGTAGAAGGGTGCAGAACGTTTTAGGAAAGCTCTTCCCTACATATTCAGTAGTCTGGTTCTTCCTTAATGTAACCGGGTGAGTAGATAAGAAGTGTCAACTCATTTTCCGACTTACTAAGCAAAAAAATTGAATACAAAGCATGCATTCCAGAATCAGATACAAACAGTTTGAAAGTTACATGTTCTGATTACCTATACACTTTGTTGTTGTCTTTTGGCATAGGAAAGCTGGAATATATGGATTTGCTTATCTAAATTTGCCATTCTGGCTGCATTCAGAGAGATATTTATTTGCTGGCTCATGTACTTATTTACATTTGAGTTCTCAGTATGGTTTTCTCTTTTTTTTCATAACACAGAAATGATATCAGATGAAAAAATTTCAGTCTCAGTTGACTTTTTCATGGTTGTCTTGCTAGTAAGCTGAATCAACTTTGAGTAAAGAGGTTACCTTAAAATTATTGCCAATACAGCTTCAATTTCTTGTATCCTGTGTTTAATGGAAGTAGACTCCGTAATGAGCTGAGTCTTCTTTCTATAATAATAGTTTTAAAATGACTATGGTCTGAAACTAGTAAAAGTTCTTGAGACTGTGCTGTGTCTTAGAGAAAGAAAAGGGAAGTTTGGGTTGCTTCATCTTGTGTGATGTTCCTGGATACCTTGCAGCTGGATTGCAGTTTTCGGGTGTTTATCCACATGAGGTCAGAGGACTGGCTTGAGTGATCTTGTTGTAGGTGTATCTTTCTGATGTATTCTAGAAAAATCTCAGAGGTTGAAATCAGCTCAGATTCAAGGTGAACAAGGACAGTGACTTAAACAGTGATAATTGAGATTTTACATAATATGTTTCCACTTGGCATTTGTTTAAATGCATTCATTTTGTTGGCACTCTTGTGTATGTTTGTCATTCAAAAGCTTTTATGTGCTACTGCCTATGCACATAGCCTGGTTGGGCAGAGAAGAATAGAGTACAAACTGTCATAATGGTTCTCATTGTTATATCTTTTATTTATAAGTTCCAAAGTTTACTAAGTATAAAGCAGCGAGTAATAATCTTATGGTGAGCCAGCATTATAAGGCTCAGCCTCCAGTCAGTACCTCACTCAGTGATTGCTTCCATAAAATCATAGCCCCTCTGTATCTTGGGAATTCAAAATGCCCTTACAGTGCTAGAAACAAGCAAGTCTCTTTTTAAGCCTACCTATTCATATATGCCGCATGTGCCCATAACTTACCTGAATGAATCCTTTAAATGAGCTGTTGATCTCCTATTAGCCATTTTTTTCCTCCCAAAGAAATTCATGTTCAGCTACTAGGTAACTTGCCTGTGTGAAATTTACAGGTCTGCCAGCCATAAAAAACATTAATGCATAATACATAAATGAAACGTACACTCTTTTTGCAAAAAATGGAAAAGCAAAAAAGAAAGGAATTTTGTCTTTGCTTTCCATGGGGAGAAAGCATGAATCCTGCATTTTTATTTTTGATGCCTTTTTGCCTTTAAATATATGAGTTGACTATTAATGCCCATATTCACAGCAGGGGTAGAAAAGAAATGGCAATAAATTGTAAAGCACATTTACATTATAACGAGGCCCATGGAAACATTGTAATTCAAGCAGTTATTTCAACAGAGGTTTGGACTCCCTCCAATTTAATTTTCTGAAGTTAGGCTGTGCAGCTGGGTCATTCTTGGTCTAATCTGGGAAGTGTATCTCTTAAGGCTGTGGACCAGAATGCTAGCCTCCCAGCTGTCGCCAAGGAGCATCATTTACAGTCACTGAGGTCCAAGGCCAAAGCATCAGAATCACTTTATGTGGACACAGCAGCCTAGCTAGCTTCATATATTCTGTTATAAAGAGCAATAATCAATATTTTATGTTTAATGACGCAGAGCTAAAATTAGTATAGATTTTATGTCTTCTACTTTTCCAAATTATGCAAACATTAGTAACCCCTTTTTTAGTGCCCTTATTACACTTCCATCTTAAAACAGTATGGGAGGAATGGTTAGGAAACCTGGTGATATTTAATTGAATGATCGAATAGTCAAAAGGATCAAAAGTAATTTTGGCTTTTAACTCTTGTTAAATAGTTACCCTTAGGTTAGTCTGGAGTTATTCCCGACACACACACACATACACACACACACACACACACACACGCACATGCACACACACACACAAACTGATTTATGTGAGTGTCACAGGTTTTGTCACCCATAGCTATACAATGAAATAAACTGCAGTTTGTAGACACATTTTAAGTTACCTTAAATGCTCTGCAATATTGCTGGGAATAAAATGGCTAAGTGTAAGTCAGAAAAGTTAAGAGGTTGCATTTAGACATAAATGCACTTTAGAGAAAAAGCAATTTTGAGAAGGTTTCTGATTTTAAACATGTCTAAAGAACATACCATGCTTGTTTAGATGTCAGAAGTGGTAGGGACAGAAAAAATAATAAGAACAGTGTTTTATTATTGAACAAGTCAAGGGGTTGACTATGAAGTCACAGAGAATGAGCTTGGCTCACCTCTTAGCTGTATTCTACTGTTCCTGACAGAGGAAAAATCTGTAGGAGTAAGATGGGGGGAGCCAAAAAATGCAGAACCCCCGATCTACCATAATAGTTCATGTCCAAGGTATTTCAGAACAGCACTGTGACACTAGAAGGAATGCAAAGTATCCATTGACCTTTCACCATGACGACATAGCCCATACCCTGTTACCACTCAGAGCACAGATCTCATTTGGAGGAACTTGGAGTGTGGTGTGTGTCTGGCTTGTTACTAAATAATTCAATTTGTACAAGGCAAAGTGGCTTAGTTTAAATTTTTAAAAAGGCCCAATGGAGTATGATCCTATTATTTGTTGAGTAAAACTGCTGTGAAATTGAACCAGAAACTGAATGCAGGCCTTTGGGTTAGGACAACTTCTCCTATAAGGGATCAGCCACCAAATAGCCACTTTCCGTCAATAGTAAATAAATTTGTTGGATTATAGAAAAAGAATTGTAAACATAGGGCAAGCAAAAGCAATTAGGCTTCTTCAGACGTATTACCCAGGATCCAGAAAGAAGAGAGAGAACTCATTTAAGAAGACAATTGAAAGAGTTTAAAGAACTGGCTGTTTATGTAGGTTTGGGCAAAGTGTAAGCAAAACCACATACGATGGGGTGGTACCCCGGCCCATCATAGTTTGGATGGGGCAAGGAAAGGCAAAAGAGAAGGGAAACAAAATGGAAGCAAAATAAGGGGAAGAGAAATGAGGAAGAAAAGCAAAGATCTTAGAAGCGGGGGGAGAAGCAGCAGTTATGGGAAGATGGTACGGACAGCTATGTCAGAGTGGACACCCTGTAGGAGCTTCGGCCTTCATTTCCTGTCTGCCTGTCTTCAGTAAAAGGAAAGAACAAAGACACAGAGCATCCCAGCTGCTCTTCTCTGACACTTCTCTCTGAGGCCACTGTCTGTCACTGCTGAAGCCACAGAAAGGCCTGGTTGGTAAAGTCCAACATTATGGACTTGCCAGAACAAGAAGAGAATGGGGAAGAGTAGGGAGACTCTGTAGAGGCAAAGAATAATCAGCTGAGAATGGAAACCTTGGAACTTGGAGGCCATTAGGCTACTAACGTTTCTTTTCCTCTTAGCCAGAATAGCACATTCAATTCATTTATTCAACAGATGTCTGTTAAGCACTCCTTAAAGACTTCATTTATGGAATTGGCACATCAGGTAGCTAAGTGAGCATCCTCGACCTCCAGGGGCTTGATGCCGTAAGCAGGTAGAGGAAATGGCAAAATTGGGATCACTGCAGGTTTCTGAGGAAGCAGGCTAGGTTTACCAGCCTTCTTGTTGGGTTGAGAGAAATAATGTGGAGGAGGGGCATGTGAGGGTCTTTCTGAAGAAGAATAAGGTGAGCCAGTTGAAGAGAGCACTGTCATCCAGCATCTGATAAGACAGCCTTTGGACTCTGCAAATGTGTGAATTCATTCAGCCATACTTAGGGAAAGTGGGGGGCAGGCGTACAAGAGATGGACCAAGGAGAGTTACACTGGATCTTCCTGCACGGGACCTGGCTAAGGAGTTTGGAACCTATCCTGACAGCAACAGTTAGCTATTGATGGTCTCAGTAGAAAAATGGTGTTGCCAGATATAGAATCGTAAACAAATACGACTAGTGCAAGAAATCGATGATGAGAGAAACCAATTTCTTTGTAAGTGTTTTAAGTGAAATATTAAAACAAAATCATTTCAAAGATCAAACTCCCAGTAAAGATACATTGAGCAAGCTGAATCCCTTATCCATCTCTGAGAAAATGAGGATGTGGTTTGGAACTTCCAGGTCAATTGAATTGAAATGTTTTGTATAGTTAGCTTAAATAACCAAATGACAGAACCAATCCTCCAAATTGTCAGAAGAGCAGCTGTTCAGAAAGCTCTTGTTAGTCATTGACCTTATGTTTAATATGATTTTCTAGAATGTGGATAGTCAGATTAAATAAAGTACTGCATCAAAACCCTCCCACCAAGTAAGCTCCCTGCAAAAAAGTATAAAGTAGAGTGTGGCTGGCTAGTGTGTAAAACCCTTTCCTTCCTGCTCCCCAAATTACCAGTGGATAAAAAAAGAAGAAAGTACACCACTGGCACATCAAAAAGGAGAAACTATTAGCATTACCAAGAACTAAATAACTGTACTAAAAGGTGTGTTAGTAGTACTTTAACACTAAGAGGAGCTCACTAAGTGCTATAACCATAATGCTGTAGGTAAGAAAAAAAAGTTTACAACCTAAAAATTCACTTCTGATTTTCAAGAGTAATTAAGACTTCTTATTGAAATTACTTGTTTTCTCTATAAAAGTAGCTGTAAACTGGGCCTTTTTCTATCCCAGATTTTTAAAGTATGTCATTGGAGGTAGAACAGATAGGATGAGATAACACAGGGTAGGTAGAAAGGATGGAGAAAAGAGGATAGTTGTGATTGATGTAATCCTTTTAGAATAGGGAAACAGGTTTATAGGGTAAAGAAGTTTTACTTTAAAAGTAAAATGTCACATGTGAGGTTGAAAAATATGTTCTATTTATCATATATATTCAGCCTATATAGTATTTGTTTCTGCTTACTGTATAAGTCACACATGTATTAAGGGAGTTAAGTAAAAAAACATAAATATCCACATATTATGTTTGAAAGAAGGGAAAATTATACTAACAGTCTGGAAAGAATAGTTATGAAAATTAAATATTTAATTTAGCTTACGCTTCTGCCAAGCAAGACAAAGATAAATGACTCGTGAAAGATTTATGAGTTGATGAAGAGAAGTACAGTAGTATATCAAAAGAGGAAAATGTCTCCTGTTACTAAATTGTAAAATGATTTTTATTCCATTATATATAGGCTACCCAGGCACAATAGCATGATGAAGAGTATCTTGTACAGCAGTATTACAGAGGATGCAGAGATGTTCTTCATATGAGATATGTTGGACATAAAATCAGCATCCTTATAATAAAAAAGAATTGAAGACCATGACCTCTTTTACACATAGTCATTGGAATAAGGTATTTTTAAATGCCTTTTTAAAAACAAAGCAAGAAGACAGCTGTGTAGTTCTAAAGGAATCTTTCAATTGGTAAAAGCATTCAGAAAATTCAACTAACAGTGCTTTAAACAAATGAGAAGAATTCTGGCTCACAAAACTGTAGAGTCCATTGATGCGTAAGTTTTAAGCTTTGGTTTGTCTATGCAAGTTTGATCTACAAGTACACAGCATCACTAAATTCTGTTTTGCTTTGCTTCCACCTCTTTACTGTATATTTTTTCTTCAGTTATTGCTTCTTACAGCAGCAAACACTTTTAGTACAGTTCCAGAGTTCTTCGCTCAAATCAAAAGGAAAAATCACTAAATTTTCTTTCCGATCTTAAAGATTAAGCATTTAACATTGGTTGAACAGCTGCTATGATCTGGACAGTACTTGTAAGAGCTGAAAATATAGTAGTGGGTGGGTATGACAAAAGCCTGCATCTTTCAGTAGTTTACTATTCAGTAAAGAGTGGCAAATAATAACAACAGCACAATCATGTATATTAAGCAGTGATAAAACCATGAAGAAAGGAATAAAAGCAGAGCACGGTAGGTATAGAGCAGGACAGGGTTGACATCTTGTAGAGTGTAGTCAAGAAAGGCTCCTTTGAGAAGGTAAATTTTGAGCAGATCCTTGATTGTGTGAGGGAAGAAGATATGTGAGGAGATGGGCATGAGTGTTCCGTGCAAGTAAACAGCACAGACGAGTGATCTGAGGAGGAGGCGAGCATGGCTGCTTGTGAAACGCAATGAAAGCAGGAGGGCAGGAGGGAGCGAGTTGTGTGGATGGGGACTGGTAAGAGAGGAGACCACGGAGACAAGCAGGGTTTGTATCACGCAAGGCACTGCAGACCGTAGCGGAGAGCTGTGAACAGCAAAGTATATGTCACTTGTCTGTATGGGTCAAACCACGGTGGATTCATAAACTAGCAGATTGATCTTCTTACGTGAAAAACATGCGCAAGTGTTGGCAAGTCAGAGTTGAGGCAGAGGTTAAATATTTTCACCTGCATCTGTTACCTTTTTATTTTTAGTTCTTTAGCATTTATTTATGTTTTTTTTTTTTTTTGTACTGCTGGGAATCAAACCTCAGACCTTGAACATGCTAGGCAAGTGATCTGTGAATGAGCTAAATCTCCAACCTGTAGGTGCCTTTTATCCTTCTAATTTACTATTTTTTATGTGTGGTTTTCCTCCTCATGTGTACAATGGCTTCTGCATTCTGGAACTCATTATTTCAACTCAAGTAGGAAGGACAGGGAAGTATAACAGTCAAATGCCACATGCTAGCTAAGTCGATTTCTTTCTCTTTTGGTACTTGGGAGTTTGTGCTTGTAAGGCAGGTGGTAGAACCACTGAAGTAAATCCCTGGCACTGAATCTATTTCTTTATCCAAAAAATAATAATTATTTACAGAAGGCCCATTCAGTAGACTTATTCACATGAATATTCATTCAGTTGAATATTCATATGAAAAGAAAAATGCATCCCAGTCTCTACCACCCAAAATACACAAAATTTAATTCAAGACTGATCATAGAGTTACTGTATATTTAAATAAGCTACTGAACTTCTAGAAGAAAATACAGGAAACTATCTTTGCAACATTAGGATAGAAAATATTTCTGAGGATACTCAAAATACTAAATAATAAAAATAAAACAAAACATTCTATTACATCCAAATGAAAAACTTCTGCTTACTGAAAAATAGTTACATGGACAAATATTTCCAGTGCATTTATCTGACAAAGAAGTTTTATTCCAAAATATATAAAGAACTTCTATAACCCAACAAGTGAAAGACATATATAGCCCAATTAAAAACAAATAAAAATATATTTAACAACATTAGTTGTCAGGAAAATGCACATTAATATCAGAATGAGATACCACACATCCACTAGCAAGAATAAAACTTAGAAGACTGACAGTATTAAATGTTGATGAGGAAGCAGGACAGTATTTCTTGTACACTGCTCATTAGAATATAAAATGGTACAACAACTTAAGAAAACAATTTGGGAGCTGTTATGGCACCACATTTTTACTAAAGAGAAATCAAAACATACATCTGCAAAGATATTTACATAAAAATGTCATATAGCTTTATTCATACTCAGCAATATCTGAAAACGATTAGAATGCTCATCAACGGGAGATGGACAGATTCATTCTGGTGTATTTATAAAATGGCCCATTGTTCAGCAGTGAATGGCAATAAACTACCAAGACATAGTTGACATGGGTGGATGTCAAAATATTATTTTGAGTAAATTAAACTAGATAGAAAAATTTATATGAAATCTGAAAGCAGATACAGTGTAAAGGGATGGAAATTAGAATAGAACTACTATTGGGGAGGGTATTTAATTGTTAAAGGGCACAAAGGAACATTCTGGAAAAAGAAATATTCTATATATTATTTTTGGCAGTGGTTTTACCAATGTATGGATTTGATAAAATTCTTAATTTGATGTGTGCATTTCATGGTTTATAAATTATACTTCAAGTAAAAAAATAAAGCTGAGTTACTGAACCATCATGCTGGCTGAGATAAGAAGTTAATGGAAAGCAAGGAGAAAGTTAGGCAGTTGCCGCTGTTGTCTTAGACCAGACCAGGAAGTGATCAGATCTCAGTTATATTTTGAAAGTGGAGCAAATAAGATTAAATAATTGATTGACTGTTGATCGTGAGAGGAAGGAAGGAGAAAAGGCTGACTAGGAATTTTCGTTCTGCGTGGCTAGATGACTAGGAATGCTATTTAATTAAATGAGGGAGAAGTAGTGACGTTCTAGTTAGGAGGTTACGGCAGAGAAATCAACACTTGGGCTTTGTCGGCCATGTGAGTGAAATGTCAGGTAGGTGGGTGGGTGCAGAAGCGTGGAGTGGGAAGGTAAAGTACAAATATGAGTTTAGAGTAATGAGGGGAAGGTGATTCCCCGAGAAGTGAGGATAGCTGGAGAAGAGGACAGAGACACAGGACAAGTGGTGCAATGAGCTTCTTCTAGTAGCAGGGAGGACGAAGAAGTAACCGTGAGGAGCAGAGGGCCCCGGCCTCCTCTGGACTATGGAGTATATAGCATGTGGATAACAGACTGCAGGAGGAAAGGTGAGGTGGGGGACTTGCTCATAGTTGTCATCGGCAAAATTCTCTGTACCCTACAATGGACACCACTCTACAGCCCTTCTCAACATTTCCTTCATCTTCTTAACCTAAAAAAAATGTAGTTGTGTGCAGAACAGCAAGGCACAGTTCAGCTAGAACAAGATAGTAAAGGAAGTATCTAAAGTTGAAAAGAGAAGCAGTTTGACTGTTAGTTTGAACAGCCTTGTGGAAAAGTTGGAGGGACTGAGGGGAGATGGGTAATTTTGTCACGCTCTGGAATGTGTGGTTCAGTATGGGATGAAAGAGATCATGTCATATAGCATGAGAGTATATTAGAGGAGGTGTATAGGGTGCCCACAAATGCTGTACTGTTTCACAGAAGGGGCTTGAGTATACCACAAGGGATCTTTATCCTCAGGAATCCTGGACCCAATCCCTCCCACAAAGTATGACTGTAGTTCCAACTGTAGCTTCCTCTTGGAATTGGTTACTTTAGCCGTTTCTAGGGCTGAGGAAAGTACTGTGGCCTCAGGAGATGGTGGTCTTCCCAGAAACAGTTCTATGGGCCTTTGAAACTTCTGTGATAAATAAACTTAAGGACAAGCAGTCTCACTGGGAAGTGGAGCCAACTTCTATCACATTCCTACAGTCAGAAAAAATGAGATTACAGAAACTAAGGATAGATGCCTGAAAGAAATACAGAGTAGGTAGTGATGTGTGTGTGTGTGTGTGTGTGTGTGTGTGTGTGTGTGTGTGTGTGTGTATCATAGGGAGGTTACCAAGAGAGGATGATTGTAGAATGACCAAGTCTAGAACACATTTATTAGAGCTTCTTTTCCAGCAATCAGCAGATAATATTGTTGACAGTAAATTTGCAAAGAGGATATGTAGGTTCATATAAACATATCTACATTCTAGAAAAATAACGGGAAGCATTATCTTTAGTAATGAAAAAGCTTCACAAGATTTAAGTGACAGTGTTATGGTTCAGTTAAATCAAGGATTAAACTGTATTGTATGTTTAAATACTAAACTTGCAAACTCCAGGCCTCTTAATGGTGTGTACTCTTGATTTTGCTAACAAGTACTCTCAAATAATATTGTCAGAAGTGCATGGTTTCAGTTTGTAAGATACTTCTTTTCTTTTTTACAGGAAGAACTAAAAAGACTGCAGAATCCATTACAACAAGTTAATGATGGGAAATATTTGCTTGAAAGGTAAGTAAAAATTACTAAAGAAAGTTATATAATTTCTAGGTTGAAAAGCTTGCATAAAAAGTACTTGTGATCAGGGGCAAGAAATATGGCTCATTTAAAATATAGCTATAAAATGAGAACCAAGACCTGTCATGTAAAGGTACAAGGGTCCAATGATGAATGTAACTGTGCTGTATACCAAAGATGTACCAATAAACTCAATGAGGAATAAAAATAGGTATAGGGCTGGGGATTTAGCTCTGGTTCCTCTGCCTGCCTCACAAGTGCGAGGACCTGAGTTTGATCTCTGGTACAATATTTTACACACACACACACACACACACACACACACACACACACACTCATCTATACACACACATACACACACATATATACACACATCTATACAAACACATATCTACACACATATCCTCACACATCCACCCACACACACATATGTACACACATGCACCCCCATGCACCCATATCCGCCCACATCCACCCACATCCACCGACATGCACCATACACGCACCCACATACACCCACATGATCTTTAGGGTTTCTAAAATATTGGCATAGTATTAGACTAATGGGTATGCACTTTCAATAAAAGGGAAGAAAAGCAGAACTATCATTTATTGAGGATTTACACAGTACTCTGTACTGTTAATGCTGAAAGGCATTTCTTTACCAAATTCTGATTATGGCCTTTTAATATGGCCATTGTTATTTCCATTTTATTGTTGAAGAAAGAGGGTTAGAGAGTTTTCAGCACCTTGTTCAAATCTATGTAGCTCATGAATGATGAGAAAGGGAATCAAACCCATGCTTTCCAGAGCCTCCAGAGCCCTTGCTTTCAGCTCTTGGCAAAGTCCCAATGGACTCTGGACCAGTGACACCTATGTGGCTGTCATGCTCAGCTCTGACAGGTGCTAGGAGTATCCAAGAAGAGTGTAAAGGAAAACCTTACAACACTTGGGGAAAATGGAAAAACCCGAGTTTGATTCCTCTTTCTGCCTTATCCCAGCTTTGTAAGTTTTGAGGAATTATTTAACCACCTAGCAGCCCAGATTTCTCATCTTCGAAAGGGAAGAGGATAGTACTGACTTGGCAGTCTTCCTGAGGGCATCAAACAAGACAAGCCATGATGACATGGCGCGTTCATTGCTGGCTCCCTTCCTTATCCATCTGGATCTGATTGGACTAGACAGCTTCCTAGGAAGGCAGGTCCAACCCTTTGATCATACAAAGTTTCTAAATTACCTATTGATTCAATTCATCTTTGGTATGCCTCTTCTCATTAATATGAATAAACAAGAACAAAATAGTTCAGCCATTATTACGGAGGCTCCTCAAAAATTAAAAATGAAACTACCATGTGATCCAGCACTCCTACTCCTGGTATATTCAAAGAAAATAAAAATAAGTATGCCAGAGACATCCCACACTCATTGTAGTGCTAGTCACAAGAACCAAGAATTTGAATCAAAGTGTGGATGAATGGATAAAGAAAATGTGGTACATACATACAATGGAGCAGTATGCAGCTATAAAAAGAACGAAATTCTGTCATTTGCCAGCATGGATGAAACCAGAGTATGTTACATTAAGTAAAATAAGCCAGACACAGAAATACAAATTTTGCGCGAACTTACTCATATGTGGAATCCAACAGAAGTTCGTCTCGTAGAACTTGAAGGTAGAATGGCAGTCACCAGACATCAGGGAGACAGTGGTAGGTAGGAGTGAGAGTGCTGAGCAGTGGGTTTCAATTCCAGTCAGGAGCCAGGAGTGCTGGTGTGTTACTGCACAGTCAGTGACTTAAAAAGGCTGGAGGAAGATATATTGAAAGTGTTCATCATATGGAAGTCACAAATGAGGAGATAGATACGTTTAACTTGATTTAAATAAATATTGAAACGTCACATATCACCCCATTAATACATACAATGTTTGTATATAAAGACATAACTTTAATTTATTCTTAAAATAAATTGAATTTAAATTTTTTAATCAAATTCAAATTTAAGGAAGAAAAAATAGTTCTTCCCAACCACCCTCATCACTAACTATCTGTGTCCAATAGCTGAATCATTTTTGGCTGACGCCAGAAAGGCTCTTCTTCTGTACAGACTCGTGCTGTAGTGGTATTAGGTCATCTCAGTGCCTCTTCACCCTGGATACACTTAGAGTCATCCAGGGAACTTAACAAAAATGCTTTGGCTTAAGCCCCACCCCAGAAAAATTGAATGTGAATCTCTGGGGAGCAGCCCTGGACCTAGTATTTCTTAACAACTCCCTTTGGGTGCTTGTAATGAGGATCTGGGGTTGAAAACTGTGGTGTGGATGCATTTTAGATTCCTTTCAGTGATTCACTAATCCTCTCATGTAGCTTAATTCTCCGAGGACACACTGTCTCTGTGATGTTCAGCCCACTTATTTATTAGGCCCAGTTATATCAGTTTTTCATTATTGATTTTAATGTAGGAAGTGAAATCCAAAAGGTTTTTTTCCCTGCTAATTGACCAGAACTCTCTATTAAACCTCTCACTACTAGCAATGTGCATCTTTCCCAGCAGTCTGCTGTAAGAAAGCCATGTGAAAATTAATGGATTATGTGTGGGCTTCTGCCTGTACCTGCCTACTCTTTCCCCTTCATTGTTCAGAGACCTGAGAAAGCTAAAAGCTTATGAAAATGACCAGTCTATTATGTGTGGTGATTTTTTCCGATTATGACTGAGGAATTCCAGGTATGGGAATTGTCTTCTCTCAGAGCACCCAGATATGTAGAGAAACCTTCCCCTTCATGGTTTATAGGACAGAAAATAAGCAGAGGCCATCAGCCCTAACAGCTATGCCATTTGCATAGATTTCTAGGGATTTTCTTGGTCTGCTTCCACGCTGGACTGTGTCCTTGAAAGCTGTCAGTTTTGATTGAAAATGGATGTACTTTGTGTGAGTAGATTAGGCATTTCATTATAGCTGTAGCTGATTTAGGTGCTGATCTAAATCATCTCAGCTACTCAAAATGACCATAAATTAAGTGATACCAGTGTCATAGCAGTTGATCGGTTATTCCCCTTGGAACATTACACTTACTCTGAATGCTCAACAGCGTTTTGTGGTAGGTATTGTGAAGGGAGGGGGAGCTTCAACTCCCTACTATTGGACACCATATGTAGGGTCATTTGAGGGTATTGAAACACACACACACTCACACACACATGCACACACACACTGGCACACACACTCGATAAAGCTTGGCATGTGCCCAGAAACAGAGAAGAGTGATTGGTAAAGAGGCTGCTTACCAATTAGGAAGCTGCTTATGGCTCTGTTGTTTATTATAATCATTTATTAATTTAAGTATGACCTTAAGCTGACTGCCATTTTTTAAAATTATTGAATCACGCTGGATCTCTGGTAGGAAATGTATGCTTGAAAGTCAAGCGTTCTACTGAATTTTAATCACTTTATTAACCACAGGCAATTATGGATGGAATGGACTAATGCTAGCCAATTTAAACCAAAAGGTACTTGTAGTTTATAGCTTGAGGCCCAAGGCTGTAAAAATTATACCCCCAAATTAGCAAATTTGCTAATATAGCTCTTTTCTTCTCTTTTTGAAAAATACCATCTTTGTAATTGCATAGCTACTGACCCCACAACACACTAACATATATCTCTGTTGCCCGATTTGCTAATGTGCAGTTAATAGGATGTTTAATGAACAACCTTGAGGTATCCTTGTTATAAGGTTGTTGGCACTACAAGACCACAGAATTATAAAAATGAGACTTCCCATACCCACATAGCCTGGATTAGGTTCCCACGTGGTTCTCTCTCTAATAATATCCATCACACTTATCGTTACCGTTGGAGTCCATCTACGTTGTCAGACTGTAAGAACAAGGACTGTCTGCAGTTCTCCCATTTTATACCTCGTGCTTTGAATCATTCCTGCTACTCAGATGATGTTAAATTTTTAGAACAGGTAATAATGAAGAATTAATAATAACACTGAATATACATGGCCCAGACTAAGTGGTGAATTTTTCCCTTTCTTTTCTACAGGATCAGGCTGAGGGAACAAACCATAAGCTATATTGAGTTCATGGCACCACCTAGCGGCTGTTAGGAATTTATCTGGTCTTTGTGTTCCCTACTACCTGGCTATTCTTTGCTAAGGAGAAATAGAAAGCATATTTTTGACCCTAAAGGACAGTTCCAGGACCATTGTTTTCTTATCTTTTACTTTTCGTTGCTGTCGTAACAATCCTGTTCTCATTACTTGGCTTATTTACGCAGCCTTCCAACTAGCTTCTCTTCATTCTTCTTGCTTATTTTCACTGCGAACCACCCTTAAATATCGCTTTCATGGTATTCCCCTGCAGAAGTGTTTCTTCCATACTGAATGTCACAATCCATTCATTAATCCATAGTTTGCTAAATTATTTTGGTAAATCATATATAATTGGGGACATAGTATTTCTTAAAACTTTAGCTTCAGACACATACGCACACACACACAGACCTTATCACATGTATATATATTGGATATATGGCCTCTGAAAATTGAAATTGATAGGATTAAGTATCATGAGCCTGAGACCAACAGCTTCTAACTGGTATCTTACGAGAGAAAGCAGCAGGGCATGAGTTCCAGTATGGTTTGTTCTATACAGTGAGTTCACCTTCACTGAGCTTCCTATTTCTTAGGTGTGTACAATGGGCAAGTGCTAATTTATGGATGGTTCTGTGAGAGTTGAATAAAATATAAAATATCTACATCAAGCCAGGCATGGGGGCACATGCCTTTAATCACAGCTACTTACCAGGTTGAGGCAGGAGTGCCACAAGTTTGAGGCCCGCTGGGGAAACTCAGTGAGATCCTATCTCAAAATTAAAAAAGCAAAAAGGACTGGGAGGTAGCCTACTGGTACAGTTCTCTTTAGGTCCAATCCTTAGTACCAAAAAAATCTATGAAAGTTTGTATACACATTATGTAACCAATAACTATTAGTTTTCTGTTTTTCCAAACCATTTCCTTTTCTCATTTTTAACATCCATTTGTGTTAAATTGCTTGATTTATTTTCTAAAAATAGCCTTTGAATTTTTTCATGTATACCATTTATTATATGTCTCTTCCTCATACATATTACTTTACTCTCAATTTACCTAGTTCTTGTGCATTCTTCAGAACTCAACCAAAGGCCTCCCTCACCTTGACCACACTGCAGCACCCAGTGAGAGTCCAGGAAGCCCAATGCAATCAGTGACCATCAGGCTAGAGTTCCTGTTTCGTTTGCAGTGGGAACTTGGAAGCAGCACATAGGTAAAAGGAGGAAAGGTTCCAGCCTACTAGTTACTAGTATCAGGCAGTGTGTAGCGATGGCTTTAAGTTTTATCTCTTTCTGAGATGATCCACTATTCCACTTTCCTTTTCTTGCTCTAAAGGACATAATTTTCATGCCTTTACTTTGAGTGCTGAGTTATGTGGTAGAGGTTAAATGGCTACCAAAAAGAAAAGGAAAATGAAAAGCAGTATTTTCCCCCTAGAGTATAGCGATTTGTCTATCCCTAGAGTATAGTAATTTGTCTGTCACCCATTTCTAGGATTCTTTTGATTATTAAGATGAACGAAACTGAATCTGTTTTGCCTTGTCCATAATATGGAAATTAATAGTAGTATTGATATGAATGTTAACTTCCTAGACTGACCTTTATTGAGACATTCTTTCTGTTTCTAGTCACCAGCTGGCCATGGATATGGAGAATAATATTGAAAAATATCCCCTTAATCTACAGCCCTTGGAATCAAAAGTGAAAATGTAAGTTCTCATTTTGTGAATTCCTAAGCAAATCTGTTATTTTTGAGTACAGAATTATACATTTCTTTAGTTCATACTTATAACTGCACATTATCTCCTCGTTTTAAGCAGCAACAAATGTGTTGAGCTCACAGAACCATCAGCTGGATAATACGGGGATTTTGTTGATTTTGCTGTTTCTTCTGCATGTCTCAGTTTTCCTTTGCAGGCAAGTACAGTATGTTTATGCAACTTCCACTGTCCTTTGTCTTAGTAACTTGGTCAATTCTACCTCAGAACAACTCGACTACTTCCACGCCATGCCATCTCTTTATTACACACACACACGCACACACACATGTGTCCCATGACCCCCACATTTTTTGTAACCATCTTCTTTCTTCTTATTTCCCTTCCAATCCCAACTCCTGTCCAATTACTATGGGAAGAAATACCTAAGAAAAGCCCAGGTCTGCTGAGCCTGCTGGGCTCCTGTTAGGGAGCTCTGTGTCACACTGACTGATGAGAATGAATCCAGCTATCAAATATCTCTGTGTAAGTGCAGCTTCACTACTTGTGTAGCTTCTGGGCATTAGTTAGCAGAAGAGGGGGCTCTATCATCAGTAATTTCTCATTAAGATAAGGTCTTGTTAAATGAAAAAGTACTGGGTAAGAAAGTTGGTAATGAATTCTGAAATGCTTCAGTTAGGAGAACTTCTTGGTCTTTTTTTCACTCCCTTCACTGCCAATATTTAGAGGCAGAGGGGCCGGTGCCAGAAGGAAGAGGAGGCAAAGAAAAACTTCTTGAACCTTTATTTCCGGTCAGCGCAGGGAATCTGGGATTTTATGATTTTATATTTGCTGCTTTGATGGAGGAGTCTCAGCTCAGTGAGGTACAAATAAATGGCTTTTATCTCATCTAATAACTCTGCACCCCATTTCCGCTCACTGGAGGGGGTGAGGGAGAGAAAACTTAATCTTGCCCAGTAATGGAATTTGAGTCCCGTCAGAGAATTTGCTCCAGTTCAGTGACTTTTGTCTAATCTGGTTATTAAACTTAACTCCCTCAGCAGGCTGAACATTTCTCCTCCACACACACGCAGGGCCTCTCCTGTAGCCATTAGCCTGTCCTCTCCCCTCCCCTCCCCTTTCCTTTCAACTTGGTGTTTACTTTTCTTTCTTCCTTCCTCTGCTAGAGTCTGCTCTCCCACTTCCCATGCACTCTACACCAAGGTTGTCCTATCAGTGGCAATACCTAGGCTTTCAGTCAGTTCCTTTTAAATGGCTGTAAGCCTTTGACTCTGAAGAAAACGGTCATTCAGTTTCCCTGAAGCCTCAGCCAGTATAGGCTGCACCCTTCCATTGCTTGAGCTGTGTCCCATGACCTCCTCGTAGTGCCTTTCCCTGGCAGAGCCTGGCCTCCTCAGTGGGTGAGGCTCCTCCCAACGATGCTTCCCTGGGGAAGTTCCTCAGAGTCATAGGACATTGATGTGAGTGATGGGCCTCTGTCCCATGTCCCAAAGTCACTCTCCAATGTCATAAACTTTAAGTCCTTCTGATATATGTTGGTGGATGAAGAAGAAAGAGAGGGTAACTACACCATAAAATCTGTGCTCCTGAAGTCTCCTGTCCCTTCACTGATGACGAGAGGACAGTGGGTTTTAGTGTGGGACCTCACAGCCCAGGTCTGCATTCCCTGAGCAGGGATGCTCGGGACCTAGGCAGGCCCAGCTCTGAGTGTAAAAGGTAAGGCAAGATGAGAACCGTTCCCAGGTGTGGGATGTTGCTTTGCAGCTGCATGAGTGGGAACCCCAGGATGGGCAGGGGTGGGCAGGAAAGGCTCGCAGTCCTTCATACTCAGGCAACATGAAAAAGAGTGGTAAGAAAGTGTAAGCCTGTATGCGGCGCTGAGAAATATCAGTGTCAGGAAGGGCATGTTACCCGGCTCACGAATACAACTGTTAAGAAGTAATTTTGAGTTTGAGTCTTGGACGATCAAAGGGCTGTGTCAAAAGGGCAAAAGTAATCAAGATCACACAGTTATTAAATAAAAGGGACTTGGGAAGGTGAAAGGCGGGCTGTCTGAAGATCAGGCGAGGGCAAACCACACAAGTCAGAAACTTTAGTGAAGGCAAAACTTCCGGAGAAAGCACCCCAACAAGGGCTCTTCACACAGCTCAGACTAAAGAGGACTGTGTGCGGAAGAACCATGGCTGAAGCAAGTTTGGGGATGAAGGCGCATGGCATCTGGGGTGTGGGGTGCAGCTCAGAAGGAGCGGATGCAGTCCCGTCAGGCCAACATCTGCATATTGCAGCAGGATCTCAAGCACGTCTTCACCATCCATCACTTAGACATCATTCATCACTGTGTGTACTCTTTTTCTTCATGTTTTAGCAACGTAATCATTTTGTGATAGAAAAGAGTCACATACAGTAAAGCCTCAACTTATGAATATTTGGGTTGCGAACTCTCACAGGTACGGACCTCACATTATGAATAGCCATAGAAACTGAGCTCACGTATCTGGCAGGCATTTCAGTTATACTTCTGTGTGTTTACTGCACAGTGTGATGGTGTACAGTACTTGTGTGTGTTTGATTTTTAACGCTTTACATTGTATATTTGTGTCCAAGATGGGCAAGACTCACTTCATCATACTTTAAAACAATTCAGCTTAGAGTATTCTCCTAGAATGGAACTTGTTCATAAGTCATGGACTTTCTGTATTGAATACAAATCATCCATTGAAAGTCTATTCGTTAAACATTTCAATTCATTTCCTGACTTTTTATTAAAGTGTTTGATTTTGTGATAAAACGGCAGATTCTATAACAGAGAGATAGACAGACTTTGGAGAAGGAAGATAATCCCTCAAACAACCCTGACCATTTGACAATACAGTATTTCCCAATAAAGCCTTGCTAAATCGCATCTGTTTGAGCATAATGTTTATGTACTTCACTCGAAAATTTAATTAGAATATGATATTAGAGAAGAGTGGTTGAGAGCAGACTTTGAAATTTGAGGAATCTAGGTTCAAACCCCAGCTCTGCTCATTACCGTACAACATTGAATATGCTGGTGACCTCTCTGGGCCTCAGTTGTATACACCTCTGCAAAATGACAATAGTAGCTGTGTCTTACGAGATTAAAGTGAGCCTTCAAGGAGAAAACTGAAGAAAAACATTTAACCTAGTAGGGTTTTTTTTCCATTCAAAAGTATCTTTTCCATGATCCCTGGTACCCACCCCCCAAAAAAGTATCTTTTCCAAATACAGTATATTTTTATATCATCTTGGGCTAACAAAATAATACCATTAAGCATTCTCAGGAATCCAGAATGTCGTGTCAGTGTATGATTTTCACATATTACCTCAAACTAGTTGGCAGTATTTGACATGTCTTTTTCTTAAGCAAGTATAATCATTTCTCTGGGACCTCTGTCTGTCAAGTGTGGGACTAAGTGACTTGTGTACATTCTCTGTGACTTCTTGCAAGAATTACAAAGAAATTATTGTTACTCTCATTTTATGGATAGGCAAACTATAGGCGAGCATGTTTAGCATTTTGCTTAAGGGTACAGCTAATGAGAATTAGAACCAAGCAAGAATCTCTATCACTTTAAACACACTTCCTCGTGAGGCAAAATTTTTCTTTAAGCCATGTCTGGAACACAGTGTAAGAAGAATACATTTGTTAATCAGCTACTTACCATAACCCTAGCACCATAGAAACAGTGATACATACATGTGGGCACTGCCCTTGGGGCTTACAATCAGGGGGACGGGGTAGACTTGCTGGGAAAGAGAGATTTAGACTCGCCAAATCTGCTGTTCCTCTTTTTGAGAGAGTATTATATCTGTTGTTGTCTCTCTTGGACTCATTATCCCCCTGTGTGCCTCATTTCTGAAGTATCATCCCACTAAAGACAAGAGTGTTAAATATCCAGGAACCAACTTGTCCAAATTTTCATCTTTGAGGGCGTTGGCAGTCTGTTGACATTCAAGGTGGATGCTAGTGTTGGTAAAGAAATCTGCAGATAGACCCAGAAGAGCATATGCTGGTGAAGCATTGGAAATAGGATCAATTAAAGCAGGGTATGAAGAGTTCCAAATTTGGAATATGCTAAAGTAGATGAGTTGAAGGCAGGAGATGCTATGGAAATCAGTAGCTCTTTACTGGCGTTTGCACAAGTTTGTACCAGAATCTGCATGGGAGTAAATGCCAAATAAATAAAACGACCTATTAGGATAACTTTTAATTGCATATAGAGAATTCAACAAACAGGCTTGGATGGCTTAGATGAATAGGGGTTCCACTTATCCACTCAAAGTCAGTATGTAATAAGCTGAACACGTGGTCTTACTTTTTTATCTGTACCTTTTGAAACATTTTTGTTAATACATGTTTGCAGCACTCAATGATTAAATTCACCATGGGAAGTTGGGGACATATCCATAGCTCATCTGAATTCTTTTTCATCCCTTTCTCCCCCCACCCCATTCTTCTCTCTTGGTCCTTTTTCCTTTTCCCTATATTTCTGTTTCTTATGTCTATCTGTTATTTTGTTCTTTAACTTATCTATATTTTGGGTTTCTCATATGAGAAAAATCATGTGATTTTTCAGCTTTTGTGCTGGTTTATTTTACTTAACATTATGGTTTCAAGATGCATATATTCTCCTAAAATTGACTCATTTATCCTTCGTGTCAAAGGAGTATTGTGTTGTGTACAAGTAGCACACTTTCTTTATTTGTTCATGGACTTACTTAAACATAAAGGCTTCTTTCAAGATCTGGCCATTATGAGTTGTGATGTTGTAAAGATTTGTGTGCAAGTATCACTGCAGTATGATGTCTTTAACTCTTTCTGGAAGACACCTAGATGGGGAACAGCTGAGTCAAATGGAATTTCTATGTTTTCAGTTTTTGAGGAATCTCCATACTGACTTCCGTAGTTGTTGTATTTCTTTATATTCCTACTAACGATGTAAACGTGTCCCTTTTTCCCTGAAGCCGTGTAATTATTTGATTTCTTTCTGAGGTTAGATGGAATCTCAATGTTATATCATAAGGAAGAAACAAAATGTAATGGGGAGAGTGAGGATCTGGCCCAAGGGTTAAGTGTGATGATTAGTTCTCTTCGTATTCCCTGAAACTTGTTAAGGATTACTGGTTATTACAGAAGCATCATTCAAACTCACATATGAAAAAGACTGTGTAGGATCATCTAACAGAAGCACCCATGGGAAAATTTTTTTCAAATGCAGCTAGATTTAAGTGGTGAAGCAAGAATATTATCATCTGCGTTTCTCACCATGTAAGCGCTCTTCTTCATAGAACTGCTTCCGTGTTACACGGACTCTCCCAGTACTGCGACAAAGTGGCGCTGACACCTGTGAGTTAAACGTCCTACCCGCTCAGACTCTTAAGGGGGAAGGGAGGACCCCTTTCTCAGTAGTCTCTATACTAAGTCCCACAGCAGTCTTCCACTGGCCTGGCTTGAGGTATGTGCGCTTTTGTATCGGTCAGCTTTCTGTCAGTGTAACAAATACTCAAGGAAATTAATTTATAAGAGAAAAAGATGATTTTGACGTACAGTTTTGCAAGTTCTGTACATGACCAACTGGACTTGTTGCTTGGGGCCTGTGGCGGGACAGCACTGTGGGCGTGTATAGCAGCACAGAACCACGTACACTACAGTCCAGGGAGCAGAGTAGAAGAGGAGAACACAAGGGCACATAATCCCTCCAAGAACAGGACCCCAGTGACTCGAGGACCTCCCACTAGGCCCTACCTCTCGAAGGCACTTCCACCCCAGGACCAAACCTTTAACCCACGGGCCTGCAGGAGACACTTAGCATGGAAACGATAGCAGTTTTCTTCAACCAATCACTGTCCTCTGGGTGGTCACCGTGGGGACATGGGCCACCCTCTGCAGTGGTAGGTAGAATCTGCCTCATCCAAACCTCACAGACCGAAGTTGTTGGGTCTCCAAAGGAAAATGGGTGCTGAAACTAGACAAAGGAAGGATAAGTTAATACTGGAGAAATTAATATTACTGTAGTAATAGTGCCTTTATCACAACCCACTCATTGCAAAGAATGTCTGGAAGTTTGGAGGAAAAAGAAGAGCAACGTGTATACTAAGTATTGTTTTCCTAAATATTTCAAGTCCTTGCTGGAGGGCATCCTCTTTTTTAATCTTCCTTCCTTCCTGCCTTTTTTTTTTTTTTTTTTT